ATGTGTCCCCATTCAAACTCACCACAGAACTGGGGTAATGTGATCGACTTTCAGAACGGACGAATCATTTTTGACCCACATGCACTCCACTGTGCCATGCCCTGGACGGGTTTGCATCGCGACATCCTTGTGGCGTTCCACCCCAGGAATGTGTCAAAGCTCTCGACTAGCCAGCTCGAGGAGCTAACAGATGTGGGTTTCCCCTTGGCTTCCGCCAGCCACATTGCAGCTGCCGAACGCCTGGACAGCATGCCCCCTTCCTCACCGGCAGGGCCCGAGGAAGACGCCCCATCTAAGTTAGACCCTGGCCTTTCCCATAGGACAGTAGTAGGCATACCCTGGCAGCCTGACGAGTTCATCCAACGTGCAGCCTGTGCAGTGCACCCACGTCACATGCTGAGTGGCTTGCCAGAACCCTTGCTGTGCACCTTGAATGCTTTGGCTTCGAACACCCCAGAGTGGATTGGGCGCACTCGCACTGAGGAGATGCGCAAGTGGATCAGTCGTGCAAGGGACCTAGAGGGCCAAGAGGCCGAGCTGAAAGAGACGATGAAGCCAAACTGCCGTGCTATCCTCAAGAGCAAACGGCTTCTTGTCTTTGAAGAGATGCTTCAAGCTTCGGGACATGAAGACGTAGCAATCGCCAGGGAAATGCGGTCAGGGTTCCAGCTAGGAGGAGCCATACCTAGGAGCGAAGCTTTCCGAGTGAGACGCCATTCCGCTTCCGTGACAATGGCAGACCTGCACCACCATGCGTCATCTCTGCGTCAGAGTATTCTGGGCTCGACCAAGAGCTCTGGAGACGAAACTCTGGACCGTGAGACCTATGAAGCAACGGTCCAAGAGGTGGCAAGAGGCTGGTTGGAAGGTCCGCTTCCCCTAAGCAGCCTTAGCGAAACTTCCCTGGTCACACGCCGCTTTGGAGTCATGCAGAAGGGGCAAATACGTCCTATCGACAACTACCTGGAGAGTGGAGTCAACAGCACTGCCAGCTCGGTCGATACGATCATTGTGCACACCGCAGACTGCATCGCCGCGGGACTGGGCCACAGGATGAGCCAGGACAAATCCTGCCGTACGCACCAGCTGCAGGTCCGATCATGGGATTTGCACAAAGCATATAAAAACCTGCCCCTAGCAGATGAAGTACTTGATGACTCCTTCCTGTGCGTGTACAACCCGGCGACGCAGGCAGCTGAGCTCTTCAAGCAAAGGGTGTTGCCCTTTGGATCTCGGCACTCGGTCCACAGCTTTTGCAGGGTGTCCTTAGGGATATGGAGGATTGCAGTAACAACACTGCTGATGCACCTGAGCGTCTATTTCGATGACTTCGTCGGTGCGGAGATCGAACCCTTGTCAAAGATCTATGAGATGTGCTTGGACATGCTTTTCAAAGTCCTTGGCTGGGGAACATCGAAAAACAAGGAGCATCCATTTGGGACGCTTGCTAAAGTCTTGGGCCTCGAGATCAACCTTCGTGACGCAAAACTCGGGTGGGTCTACCTTTCTAATACTTCGGAGCGGCAAAAAGAGGTGTTCGACTTCGTGAGCGAAATTCTCGATCAAGGCTTCCTAAAGAAGAAGGATGGCGAGAAACTTCGTGGTCGTCTTCAGTTTGCCGAATGCCAAATCTCGGGAAGAGGTGCCGGGATGGCATACAAGAAACTTACCGGCTTCATCAGGGATGGTGCAGGCTACCTTGATGACGAAGCTCGAAGTACACTTCTGACTTTGCGTGACAGAATCCTTCATGCTCCAAGCAGGTGTGTTTCACAGAACCTCTGCAACACGATGCATTTATACGTGGATGCCAGCTGTGAGAAGCGGAAGGTGGGGCTTGGTGGCGTGCTTGTCAACGAGACTGGAACTAAAATTGGGTATTTCAGCGAATGGGCTAGTGATGGCGTGGTGGCTCGAATGAACCCAGCCAGTGGAAATCCAATCTTTGAGTTTGAATGTCTCGCGATTCTTATGGGCCTCCGGACCTGGGCACCACTGATAAAGAACTGCAATCTGGTGATCTTCACAGACAACGATGCGGCTCTTGCGTGCATGATTCGTGGAATGTCGGACAATGACTATGGCGGGAAGATCGTGACCTGCGTCCATGAACTCAGTGACGAGATGGTGTGCAACGCGTGGTACGAGCGTGTCAACACCACTTCGAACATAGCAGATGGCCCATCACGAGGCGCCAGAGACGAATCGTGGGGACCAAGATTTGAGATAGACGTGGATGCCATAGTAGACACTGCCTTGAGCGCTTGGGGGTGAATCGAAGGCAGTGCAACTCTTGCACAGCAATCGTGGATTGCAGCATCCTCGGGGATGTAGTCTTGTATACCCAAGGGTATACATCTTCGCCTTCACTCTTTTGCACAAATCTCCCCAGCGTTCGCCTAGCGGCTGAAAACGAAAGAGCGGTGTTACTTCCATTCGACATGCAAGATGTGTGCTGACATGCTCTCACTAAGATGCATCGAGCAAACCCTTGACACATAACACGAAATAAGGCAACTATCCATCGTGATGGAGAGGACCTTATTTTGTGTTCATGTGCAGCAAAAATAAATGTTCTTTTATTTTTGCGGTTTGCCCGAATCTTGCCCGATTTACGAGTTCACTACAACAATCCACGAGTACAGACCATGTTCCAAATTTTTAGACTTCATGTCTGAACATGACTCACGTTCTTTGACATTCCATGTGTTTGAAGCAGTGCGTTGCCTGCATGCAAGGTCTGAGTGGCTCAGACACAGAGTTTCATTTTTGAATCCCCACCCACCCGCCCGGGGGTGAATCGAAGGCAGTGCAACTCTTGCACAGCAATCGTGGATTGCAGCATCCTCGGGGATGTAGTCTTGTATACCCAAGGGTATACATCTTCGCCTTCACTCTTTTGCACAAATCTCCCCAGCGTTCGCCTAGCGGCTGAAAACGAAAGAGCGGTGTTACTTCCATTCGACATGCAAGATGTGTGCTGACATGCTCTCACTAAGATGCATCGAGCAAACCCTTGACACATAACACGAAATAAGGGGTTTCTGGCCTCAAGGAAGACGCGACCTTGGTCTCCAACCTCATCCCACCGCACTCAGACTCCGACGCAACCGATTCGGAATCTTCGGACGAGTCCAATGTGGAGGAGTCTGCGCCGTGCCAGTCAGATGACGAGGATGATGAAGTTGCCTCTGACTCGGTCGAGTACGATTCGGCGGAGGGCGGACACCTGTTATTTGATGAAGATGGGCCTTGGGTGTTGAACAGCCTTTCAGGAATATTCCACAAGGCCGTGGAAGTCACTGCTGGCAATTTGCGCTGGAAGGACCGATGCTGGGGCAGGGCCTGCCGTCCGTGCGACGCACCATCGGCGCAGAATACCTTGGTTCATTCGGACCCCTATCTGCAGGGTTATCAACGGTGCGGCCACAGTGGTTGTTTCCCACAATCTTCCGGATGATGGCCCAAGTTGCCGGTGTTACGCGTCGTCATAATGCGGGCAGAGTGTCTAAATCCCGCGTCCTGCAGCTTAACGCGTGTCTGGGTTCATCTTGCAAACGAGTGTTTGCCATTTGCCTTGCTCGCTGACGCGTGTCAGCCCGGTGCCTGCGAGACGAGTGTCTCCCGTGCCCACTCTATTCTTGGTTGTGGGCGAGTGTCCGCCGCTTGCTGACGAGTGTCAGTTCGGTTTTGTTGGGTTTGCAAGTGTCTTTGCAGATCTGTGCAGATCGTTGCAGTTTCGCATTCATCCCAGCGTGTCTTATCTGCCTGCGTTATTCTGCTGCTCTCTTGTTGCTGTCTCCATGGCTGCAGCCCAGTGGAAACAATTATTGCAGGAGTCCATGGTGCCGGACGCCGTGAGCCAAACCTTGGGAAAACTCGGCTATAATTGTGCGGCCTCCTTTGCTTTCTCGGATGATGGCGTCTTCAAGTCATTCGCGAAGCATTTGCTGGTTGAGAAGAAGGTGGTCCCGGACGTGCAGGCAGATTCGTGGGAGTTCCAGCCACTGGTGGGCATCTTGAAGGGTCTGTGGCTCAAGTGCCAAGCGCAGCTGCCTCAGGCTGCGGTGTTCCCTCCCAGCGCACCTCCAGCATCGGCTGCAAGTGCCCCCCTAGCGCTTGCGCTGCCTGGCATTTCACCGTCCGCTTCGGGCGCTAGCCGCCTCACCGTGCTGGATCGAGACAAGCTCAAGCGCGAGTTCGAGAAGAAATACCCCAGCACCTACATCACACCGGCCAGCCTCCCGGCAATGTCGCTTCTTCAGTTAGTTCACAACCAGGCAGCGCAGAAAACCTGGGACTGGCTGCCTTGGAAAAAGATCCTCAGTGAGAAGGCCGCTACAGCTGTGCGTGGGCGGAAGTCAGACGGTGAGCGTGACGCGATCGCCGAGTACCTAATGGCGGCGTCTGGTGTCCAGTCGGAACAGTGGGACCTGGAGTTGTCCCCCTCTCCGTACAAGATTCAGTGCCTTCTGCAGGTTCGGGCCAACGCCTTTGCCATGTGCGGAGCCTGCCACTTGGGCAGCTGGAGCATCTATATCGCCAAGTTCCTGGAGTTTTATTCTGCTGAGACCGGGGACCATTTCCGGCCACCTTCCGTGCAGGAGGCGGAGGAAGCAGATAAGGCCGCGCTCCAAGAGGCCTTCGCGCTATGTTTCGCCGGCAACAGCTTAGACGACGCCTTATCCACGGTGGCTGTGGACAGAGACTTGCTGAGGCACTTATTGGTTGCAAAGCCGAAGCTGCCCAAGTTACCCCAGCCCCCACGCCCCCCAAAGGAGCCCAGGCAGGGCCGCGAACCGCTCAAGAGAAAGCAAGCTCAGGCCCTGGCAGGGGGGAAGAAACCGCGTTCTGGCAAATGTTTCTTGTGGATGGACGGCCTTTGCGATGACCCACACTGCCGCTACAAGCACCAGTGCGCCAAGTGCGGCAGCGCGTCCCATGATTCCCGAAATTGCAAGGGCCAGAAGGGGAAGGCGTCCTGAACCCCTGCGAGGACCATGCCGGACGTGCAGTTGGACATGGCAGTGGTTGGGGGTCTGGTGGAGGATGCGCGCGTGGGCAAGCAAGCTAGACGTGCCCAAACTGTGTGGAAGGACAATTCCTCTCGTCTCCGGGATGGTGCAGGCATTGTCTCCGACGCAGACTGGCGCCCTGAGTTTGCAGAAGACGTGTTTGGTGTTCTGCGTCAGTCATGGTTGAGGCGGGTGCACCACTGGGATTTGGTTCCTCGTCTTTTCAGGCATGTTGCGTCGAGCACTGATGTTCCTTTACTTGGTGACGAAGAAGTGGCTATTCTTCGCGAAGATCTGCGCCTTTTTCTGAGTAGTAAAGGTCTCGAGTGCCCCTCCACCGTGCCTTCAGGCCAGCCGTTTGCGCTTCACCTATTGCGTGGCATGCTCATGTTGTCCAATGACGTGGATGCAGAGTTACCAACGCTGCTTGAGCGCGGAGTTCCCACGGGCATCCGTGACGCTATCCCGGCCTCAGGGGTCTGGCGCCCTGTGGATGTGCCAGAACGTCCTCCTGTAGACCTCCTTACCTGGCAAGAGCCATGGAGCTCCGGGCGACAAGACCCGGATACCGTGTTGCAGCTGGTGCAGGAAGATGTTGATCTTGGGTTTGCTGAGTGGCTCCCTGGGGGCTTGGCTGAAGCTCGCGCTCGGTTTGGTGCAGCTTGCGCGGCCGGACGGCTCGGCCTTGTCAAAAAGGAAGGTGCGCCCCCGCGCCTGGTGGGTGATAGCACAGTGTCTGGAGCAAATCTCCTTTGTCGGATTGGCGAGCGCATAGAGATGCCTTCCCTTCAGGATGTCAGCGAATTCCTTTCCAGAGACCCGGAGGCTCTGTGGACAGGCTTCATCATGGACGTCTCCAAGGCGCACAAACGCGTGAAAGTGGCTCCGGAAGATTGTGGTTTCTCTCTCTTTGCGATCATTGACAGCAGAGGCGAGACTCACTGGATCATGTATAGGACCTGTCACTTTGGAGGAGCCTGGTCCGCATATTGGTGGTCCCGTGCCGCCGGAACCTTCGTGAGGATCGGTCACAAGCTCTTGCGTTTGCGACATTTTCTGGCTGTGTATGTAGACGACAATTTTGCCTTGCTGCCGCGCTCAACAGCTCCATTATGTGCGTCGTTGTTGATTTGCTTGGCGGTGGCGCTTGGGCTACCGTTGAGTTGGCGAAAGCTTCGCCTTGGTACATCGCTGCGGTGGATTGGCTGGGAGATCTTCCTGGAATCTTGCCCCGCAGCCACTTTACCGCTTGACAAGCGCAAGCGTTTGGTGGAAATGCTGGCGCCGCTTTGCGTGCCTCTGGCCGTGATCAAGCGCAAAGAGCTAGAGAAGTGCCTGGGTTTGCTCTGCTGGTTCACTTCAGCCCTGCCTTCCTTGCGACCTTGGCTGCAGGCTTTATTTCAGGTTCTCCATAAACCTGCCATCTTGGTGAGGGCTTTGGACTCTGCGCAATTAGCAGATCTTCGTGGGTGTGTGGACGACAAGCTGGTTGTGGTGCAGAAAGCTAGGAGCTGTTCCGTCTCTGTCGGCTGGCGTGCTCTGGAAGTGGCTCACGTTCCCGTCACCTGCAAGACCGCGCTGCGGTGCACTGGACAGCGTTCGGTGTGGGTCAAGTTTGGGGACCCAACCTCGGCGGAGGTGCGGGTTTCGCGTGAGGCCGCAGAAGCGGCGACGTTCTACCTCGACCTGATCCAGTTGGATGTGGCGATTCGTCTGGTGCAAAGTTCTGGGCCCAAAGTGGTTGCAGCAGCTGACGCCTTTGCAGAGGGCGACCGGGCGGGCTTTGGGGGCTGGTGGATACGGCCGGAAACGCGGCTCTGTCCGGAGAACATCAACTGGTTTTCCTACCAGATCTGCCGTGAGGACCTGCCCGACTGGTTCCAGGCAGAAGACTTGGCGTCGGTGATCTGTGCACTGGAAGCACTGGCGCAATTCGTACTCTGTTTCTTATTAGTCCGCGAGGTAGAGCCGGAGTCACGCCCTGCGTGCTTGGGCCGCATGATTCTGCGACAGCATTGCGACAATCAAGGTGTGGTTGGCGCTACTGCACGGGGCTCTTCCATGACACAGCCCTTATGCAGTGTATTACAAGCTACAGCCAAGCTTTGTCTGGAGCAGAGCATCGCGCTCCGGATATCACATGTGCCTGGTGAAAGAAACACATGGGCTGATGCTCTATCTCGCGGCCGCAACGTGCTACCGCATTTCTGGGAAAGGTTGCAGCAGGACGGCCGTCATGAGGTGGACTGGCGCCAGTTGCTGGACGACCTAGTGCCCAGGCCCAAGCGCCTTGTGTAAGCCTACCTGCACGCCAGTGGCTTCAGTGCATATGCTTGCTATGGGGGCGGGTGTGTCCCGCTTGTTCGCGTGCTGGCGAGTGTCAGCCTGTCGTGTGCGTTGCACACTGTGCACACTGTAGTGGGGTTGTCTGCGTCTTCAGGGTGGAGTGCCTGGGCCGCGCGTTGTTTGGCTTGGTCGGTTAGCGGCCAGACACGTTATTTCCGGTCGCACTGCGGTCCTACAGGGCATTCATTTTCTGTTTGCTGCTTGTAGATAGGGTGGGAGACTCTTGGCAGCGGCTTTGCTTTGGATTGGAAGAGCAAGGAGCTCGAGGGAGCTCCAACTTGTGCTTCATGAATTTGCTGCCAAGAAAAGAAGAGTCTGCCCTTCAGTGTGACTTTGTGTGTGATCCGTTCAGTGCCTCCGCATCTGCTAGTGATGGGTCACTCACGCCTACTCGCGTGTAACACGATCACTAGCATTGTGGAGCACGATTTCCTTGTCCAGCATGCGTTGGTACTCAGCCTTGACGCCGTCAGGTTCTGTTGTATCCAGGCATCGTCAGCTGGATTTCCGATTTCCCGCCCGCCCGCCCCAGGGTGGAGAAGCAGCTGCGGAAGGTAGCCGCCGACGCGGGAGGTGGCCGCCAATGGGGCGACGCTGTGAGAACACGTGTGCCCATCGGCACTGGATTGGAAGAGCAAGGAGCTCGAGGGAGCTCCAACTTGTGCTTCATGAATTTGCTGCCAAGAAAAGAAGAGTCTGCCCTTCAGTGTGACTTTGTGTGTGATCCGTTCAGTGCCTCCGCATCTGCTAGTGATATGCTGAGGTGGCTGGAGTCCCTCGATGTAGACAACATTAGTGCAGCGGCACACGCGCTTGAAGCCGGTCGACTGCCGCCCGAGCTGTCTGGTTCAGTGCAAGCGTTGCTAACATTTGCCTTGGGGCCCGATGTGGTCAAGCGTGGTGAAAAGAGCATGAGCGAGGCGCCGCCCGCAAAGTTGAGAAGAACCGATCTTCCTGTAGCCAAGCCAACTGCAGCAGGCTCTTTGGCCAAGGCGTTAGAGTCGGCAAGGCCCTCAGCGCGAGAGGCTACGCTCGCTAGCTTCAAGCGTGATGTGTGGGCGCCCAGCAACCAGAAACCGCAGGCCTCTCGGTGGCGGACTTGGTCAAAGGTGTGTGACGCCTGGGGAATTCCGGCTTTGCCGCTATCGCGGGACGGAATCGAAAAGGTGGCGGCCTCCTTCAAGGCAGGAGGGTATAGATCAGCGCGCCAGTACTTTGCCAGGGCTCGCAGAGAGCATGTGCTTCAGATGAAAGCAGAAGTGCCGCCAGATGTGCTGCTGTGCATGAGAGATGCTCTTCGTTCTCTTGAGCGTGGAATAGGTGGTCCTGCGCTTAAGGACGCATTCCGTTTTGAAGAGGTGGTGCTGCCCAGCCCCTTCGAGGAAATTCCGAGTACCCGTCGACAGGCCGCGTGCATGTTAGTGCTGGGATGCTGGTTCCTGCTTAGAGAGATCGAGATCGCAGCGTTGCAGAGCAAGCACTTGACTGTTGATTGCGAGCGCATGGAGGTGACCCTCACACTAGCAGCAAGTAAGTGTGACCAGCAAGGCAACCTTGTTTTGCGAAAACATGGATGTTATTGCGACCACGTTCCTGCAAGAATGTGCCCGTACCATAATGCTGTGGCTTTCGAGAAGATTCGCCCGAAGAATTTGGAAGCTCCGCTTTTTCTCAGCTCTCGCGGTCATGAGTTGTCTAAACATGAGACCATCCAGTTGATCCGCAGAACACTGTCGGCGTCGCCATTCGCTATGAAGCGTGCAGGTGCTCAGGGCCAGGCGATGCTTGAGCGTTTCAATGGCCACGTCCTTCGAGTTTCGGGTGCACAGTTTTTGGCCAGACGCCTCGTGCCTCTGCCTACCATCATGTTGTTGGGGCGGTGGGGCAGCCGCAGTGTCGAGAGATACGTGCAGGAGGCAGCCCTGGAGACATTCTCCTTGGATCAGATCTTTGACCCCTCGGTGCATGTCGCCGAGCCAGCGAAGAAGAAGCGGGATCAGTTGAACTGCGAGGCTGTTGGAGACTCTCTGGCAGCTCTGACTGAGAAGCTCGAAATCTTGGCAGCTCGCGTGGAAGCATTGCAAGAGAGGCCGCCGCTCGTGGTGGGCAAGAAAGCCCATGCGCGAGACCCTCATGAACTCGACAAGCTGCCAGTCACATGGAGGACAAGGTGTGGCCTGTGGCAGTATGGGTGTGCTGCGTTCACGAGAGCGAGCGAAGCCCCTGTGGCCACACGCTGTCGCCGCTGCTTTCCAGAATGTGCCGAGGATGGTGAGATTGACAGCAACCGAGAAGAGTCAGGCTCCAACACTTCGTCAGACTCGAGCTCGTCAGACTCGGAGACAGACTGAGATAGTGCGAATAACTTGTACATTGTGTTGAGATGTATTGCGCCGCACGCGCGCTTGCGCCGCACGTGCGCCAGCGCCGCACGAGCGCTGTGGGGAATGAGAACTTATTTGCGCCGCTCGTGCGTCATATCTTATTGCGCCGCACGTGCGCAGCGAGTGTGCGGATTGGGGACAGCAGAAAGGGTGTCGTGAAATGCTGCTTCCAGCCGAGCACGATCATGGTCATGGTGTGGACAGGAACCAGTGGTTGTTGTAGCTCCGGATACCTTGATTTGCTTTACATTTTGCCAGCGCTTTGCTTGAAGGATCCGTTTCTGTAGCGTTGTGCCCCAGCAGTGTTTCCGTTCCGCTGAATTTTGTGTAAAGTCACAGGCGATGGCGGTCGTGCATGCGTCCTTCCAACAAGCGATGGAGCAAGCGGGCATCCCTAGTGACATCCAGAAGTACATTGTCAGCCGCGACATTACATCAGTTGAGGTGATGGCGTCCATAGCCTTCAAGGTGGAGGAGGTGGACGAAATTTTGGCAAAGCCGCTCGAGTCGGAGTTTGAGCTCCCAGGTGGGGAAAAGATTCTGCTGTCAAAGCTTGAGTTCCCCATTGCGAAGGCCAAGCTTCGATACTTGTGGCGCAAATGCTTCAAGGATTGCAGCCTTGGCGAAGCACCAACGGCGCCGACACTGCCGGCATCCACACCAGCGGCTTCGGTGACTAAGTCTTCGTCCAAAGAGCTTCCCAGTGGTTACTGGCAGCAGCAAGTCGCAAAGTTTGAAGCTGTCAAGATCGGAGACGAGACCCGAAAGTTTCCGCAAGAGAAGTTGATCGGTGCAGAGACAGTAGTTGCTCGCGTGGTGCACGAGATGCGCGCAGAGAGTCACACAGCTATTGGGCTTCACGAGGTGGTCCAGGCTCGTTACTTTGAATCGTCCGGGAACCCCAACCCCCTATGCGTTGCGAAGAAGAAGCAGAAGGCCCAGGGTGCGATTTTGACCCTCAACTCTGACTATCAGATTGAGACCGAAGCAGATGCCCCGTGGCGCCCGAAAAGCGTGCTCTCGTTCGTGGACTGCTTGGACTCCATTCGTGTCCTGATGATCTTTGTTGAAATGGGTAGCGAGTCGGCTGTCTCGAAGTACATTGATTGGTTTGAGAAGCAAGTGCGGTCAAGGACAAGCAAACTGGAGCAGTTGAGGTTGTACTGGGAAGCATGTGCGTGGCGGATTGCTCTTGCTTTGAGGTCCAAGAGAACTTTCAAGTCGATCACGGAAGAGATCATCCTGGACAACCAAGCGCTCCAGGACGCTGTCTCCAGGGACGTCGTGATCTTAGACCGTGCTGGGCGTCAACGATTCCGCTATGACCAGCAGGACGTCGACCGCAACGGCAAAGGGAAAGGCAAGACTAAGACGAAGACTCGCGGTGGCAAGGGTTATTGGGACGATCGCCGATGGGAGCGACGGAATGATAGCTGGCGGCCGGGCCCCTACGCCTCCAACTACCAGACCCCATCGTGGTCTTCGTGGCACGGTTCCTCGTGGTCATCCTGGCAGCAGAAGAGCCACCAGTACGGGCAGGAGGACAAGAACTCGCAAAGGGAGTAGGGACAGCGCGGGCCGTTCGACAAAGATGTTGAATCGGACGGACCCGACACCGATGCCAGCTTATCAACAGTCAGATTAGTTCCGGCTGTCGATGTGCAGCCGACCGGGCATGGGCACAAGCGGAAGCAAGAGGATCCGCGAGGACCCCTCCCTCGAAAATTCCGCAGTTGCATGCCACGCGAGACTGAGTCCGTCGACGCAATACTGTTGAGCTTTTTCGATGGCATTGGCACGGCGGCGTTGGTTTTCCAGCAGATCCTTGAGGAGAAATCCTGGAAGGGGCACATGATATTGTGGGAGTCTGACGAGGACCTAGCAGCGTTGACAAAGGAGCACTTTCCGAAGGCAGATCACAGGGGTGATGTTGACAACGAGCGTGTTGCGGATCTGATTGAGCGCTTGGACGCTATCGACCCGGGACGCAAGGCTACTGTCATCATCGCGGGCGGTCCTCCCTGCCATGATTATAGTAGGATTCGTTCTTCCGCTCCAGGTGCTCAGGGTTTGGAAGGCTCGAAATTCGTTCGCTTTGCCGAGCTGGTCAAAGAGCTGGAGAGGAGTTGGGGAAGGCCCCAAGCAGTGTTGATCGTGGAAAATGTCCTCCCGCAGAACAAGGCCGACATCAGGGCGTTCGAGAAGGCTTTGGCCGCGCAGGCAGTGATGCACGACTCTAGCGACTTCGGGATCATTTCGCGACCAAGAGTGTGGTGGACACGCGTTCCGTGGCAGCAAGTCAGTCATCGCTCTGATTGCCCTGCCAAACTGCGTTGGTCAACGCACCAGGGAGTTCCTCGCGTCACCTTTGCAGTCCATCCGGACAAGATTGATGATTTCGACTTGGGGGGCCTGAAGTGGCCTAGCGTTTTGCTGGACCGCGTTGGTGTGTTGCCTTGCTTGACAACGCCGTCCGAGAGCCCAGAAGGTCGGCCTGCGCCGCGAAGCAGCAAAGGCAAGGTCGATAGCCAAACTCAGGCACGTTGGCTACAAGACAATCGCAGTTATGCTCCCTGGCATTACCAGGATAAAAACATGTTCACGGACAAGTCGGGTGCCTTTCGTCTAGCCACAGCGGAAGTGAAGGAGCAGTTGCACCATCTTCCGTGCGGTTGGACAAGAAAGCTGCGCGACAAGGCCCGCCACCGCGCACTTGCGAACGGCTGGCATCTGCGAGCGGCCAAGTTGTTCTTTCTCTTCGGCTTGTTGTCAACCGAGGCTGGGGCATTGCGTCCACAACCAAACCCATTGGGAAGCGATGCCATTGAGTGCATGGTGCGTATTTGGGAGTCGGCGCCGCTCCTCAACGGTCCAGGTGTTCCTACGTTGGCTGATGCGGATGATCTCTCTGACATCGTTGACCCGTATGAGCATTGGGCAGCTTCTCAGCAGTGTCGGCATTCAGCGCAGCAGGATCCGCGAATCGAGCCAGGGCTTCTGCAATGGCTCCCTGTGTGGCGACACTTCCGCAACGTGTTGCCTGAGATGCGACGGGCAGTGACCCGGGCCGTGGAAGAGCTTGTTGCGGACCGGGAGGAAGAGACAGCGGCGTGGTTCCGACAGTGTCCTCCGCACATTCAGAAGGCATATTACTCTCAGTCAGGTAGGGCTTCTGTGCAAGTACCAGTGATTCGGGAACTTGCTACGCGCCTTGGTTGGAAAGACGTGACTATCTTCGAAGAAATGGAGCGCGGCTTCCCCATGTTGGGCATGAATAGCTCGGGACTTGGTTGGAGGCTGCGTCATGACGGGCGCTATGATAACCCGGTGCCAGTCAAGGATTTCTTCCAGGAGAACTTTGCCTTCGTAACCTCCCGCTTACGAAGGGCACGCGTCGACAAGGACTGGGAGGCCATGGCCGACGAGATCGCAGCGGATGTGAAGTGCGGTCGCATGGAGGGGCCATTTGCCATGCCTGAGTGTTGGGGCGTTAAGGGTGTCGCCTTGTCAAAGTACGAGCACACAGCAGCCTTGCTTTCTGGTCCTCACGAGCATGTCCCCTGTTGCTTTGCGTTTGCCGTGCATCAGATTGGTTCGGATGGGCAGCCCAAAGTGCGCCGAGCCGAAGACTGGCGTAGCTCGGGGGCGAATGCGACCGTGGGGGTGCCGGATTCACCGGCGTACCATGATATCACCGCGTTTGTGGAGCTGGCCAGAGCGATCAGGAAGAATAACAGCCCAGCAGATGGCGCAGTGCAGCTGTGGGGTGTGGACCACGAGGCGGCGTACAGACAGTTTCCAGTAAGCGAGCCGAATCACACGTGGGTCATCCTTTCTACACCTTCGGGCCCAACTCTGTGGAGGCACAATGTGCTTATGTTTGGGAGCACAGCGTCAGTGTGGAGCTACTGCAGAATAGCGGACTTGCTGGCGTGGCTATCAAGGGCTCTGCTATTGGTGCCACTCTTGCATTTCGTGGATGATTTTGGATCCGACGAGCCGGCTGACACGAGACCCGGTCCTAACTAATGTATTGCGTGGGGGCCCGTACGTCCACTGAATACAATCCCTCGTTTCGGAAATGTATTTCAACCCCAGGGTCATAGGAGGGGGATATTCATGCTAACTTGTCCGGGTCGCAGTTGGAACATTGAGAGAGGCAATCGAGATACCTTTTCTTTCAACCCCAGGGTCATAGGAGGGAGATTTTCATGCTAACTTGTCCGGGTCGCAGTTGGAACATTGAGAGAGGCAATCGAGATACTTTTGTTTTGTATGCTTATAAAATCAGCAACACAATATCCCCGAAGAAACATACATACATATATACACATATACATATATACATGTGTTCAGTGCTGGTGCTTGTTGACTGGGAAATTCGGTGGAGTGCGGGCGGCTGCAGGGAATGTATTTCTAGGAGGGGGGGGGGGGTGAAATGCATTTTCCGGCACATTTAGTTTCCCCGAAAGCCCATAAAGCCCACCAGGGTAGAGGTGTGCGAAGTGTGGACATGTCTTGCTAAACACAGCCTAAACAATCCTAAACACAGCTAGACACAGGAGAACCAATGCGACTTTCCGTGTGTTCAGTGCTGGTGTTTGTTGACTGGGAAATTCGGTGGAGTGCGGGCGGCTGCAGGGAATGTATTTCTAGGAGGGGGGGGGGTGAAATGCATTTTCCGGCACATGTAGGGTCCCTGAAAGCCCATAAAGCCCACCAGGGTAGAGGTGTGCGAAGTGTGGACATGTCTTGCTACCAAAACCCCACACACCCGAAGAAAAAAAGGCAAATAAAAGATAGGATGGGGAGATGCGGCAGCTGGCCGACGCATACAACCACTCATACAGCCAGTGATCGAAGGGATGCCGTGAGCAGAGAAAACAGATACCGAGGTGCACCTCAAGTGTCTCCTGAAGTATCCTAAACTTGGAAATTTTGTTGGGTTCGTAAGCCCGCACAACTCCGAAATCTGACCGATTGTAACCTACATTTATCCTATATTCAGGAAACTTAGGAACGTCGTTCCGACCCTCGCAATGCATTTCTCATCCCTACTCATTCCCACAGAGAATAATGTATTAATTGGGGGGGGGGGGCCGAAAAATCACTTAGAACCATCCCTGCTGACACGGTCATGTCGGCCTATGAGGAGACGCTTGCAACTTGTCGAGCGCTGGGCTTCAAGTTCAAAGAGGCCAAGGCCCAGCCGCCTGCAAAACGGCATAAGCTCCTCGGCGTTTCAGCTGCTTTCGAAAACGACAGGGCTGTGATCGAATGTGCCGATGACCGGAGACAACGGCTGGACTCGATGTTGCTCCAGATCCTCCTCGAGGACCAGCTCAAGCCTCGCGAGGCCTCTGCCATAGCGGGAAAGCTTCAGTTCATTGCGCAGTCCATGTTTGGCAAAGCGAGCATGGCAGCGATTCGTCCATTCCACCAGAGAGCTCAGGCGTCTGCTTTCAGAACCCAGCAGCAAGGTTGGAAATTAAACTCGGCACTAAGGTCAGCGATTGCATACCTCAGGTATCGGTTAGCGCACGGTGAGCCGCGGATCGTCCAGTTTGATGTGCGGCATAGATCGGTGATCTACGCGGATGCCTTCTTCAACCTCCATGGCAAGAGCTACAAAGTGTCGGAGGCTGACAACATCCCAGACTGGGGACGGGAGATCCCGGCTTCCTTCTTGAACGGCGTGGGCTTCGTTGTTTGCCTTGGTGATGTGACCCTTTACGCGTATGGCATCGTCCCCTATTGGTTTGTAAGATACTTCACGAGTCGGCGAGCCTTTATCTATATGTTGGAAATTTTGGGACAAGTGTTGCCGCTCATAGCCTTAGAGTCGCGACTGCACCGGCACTGCGTGTTGTTCGTGGACAATGAGCCAGCAAAGCAGGCTCTCATGAAAGGCTACGGGAAAGACGATTGCATCAACCGGCTTGTGCAGACCGCGTGGGTCTTCATCGAGAAGAAGAAACTCCAGCCCGAGTGGCAACGAGTGTGCAGCTCTGCAAATGTTTCCGACTCCGTCAGCAGAGGCAACTTTGACTTGGCGGAAAGCATGGGTTGGAAGCGCTTCCACTTCAACTGGGAGGAGACGTTGCAGCAGCTGTTGGATGAGTGTCTGCAGGGCCCGCTGAGATAGTGAGGGGGCTTGTAGGTGCGAGAAGATGGGTCGCAGGCGTCGCACCTTTGGTAGCAGGATCTGACTGCGCCCGATCGGGTTGCGCAAGATCAAGACCTGCCGCCGCCTGCCGATGTCCCGCCAAAAGAGGGCGTCTGTCGCGCAGGGTTGTATGTAGGGTGCGACTGATTGCGAGTGTGTTGCGTCACTGTGCAGTTGTGAGTTGTTGCGAGTGCTTCGCGCGAGTATGTCTCGCAGTGCAGGAGTGCCCGCAGTGCACGTAGTGACATGTTACGAGCGCTTGCACCTTTGCGAGTTTGGTTCGAAGCTCGTTGTAGAGAGCTCGTAGCAGATGCAAACTCTTTGCAAGTTTGTCGGACCCGCCCACTCCGCCCAAATCGGTGGGGTAGCAGGATCTGACTGCGCCCGATCGGGTTGCGCAAGATCAAGACCTGCCGCCGCCTGCCGATGTCCCGCCAAAAGAGGGCGTCTGTCGCGCAGGGTTGTATGTAGGGTGCGACTGATTGCGAGTGTGTTGCGTCACTGTGCAGTTGTGAGTTGTTGCGAGTGCTTCGCGCGAGTATGTCCCGGCCCTGCCCGGCGAGGCTGGTCGGCTGGAGATGTTCCGGGCCGCCTCGCAAGTGTGGGCGCCCGTGTGCAAGCTTGGCTTCACCAGTGGCTCTGCCTCTGTGGCTTGCAAGCAGATGGGGTACTCTGGATCTGCAGGCTTTGCCGGTTGCACGTCCAAGGAGACGTGTGGGGCAGTGCCGCCACAGGTGTCGGAGTTGACTTGCGGTGGCGCCGAGACGACCGTGCTGGAGTGCTCCATGTCAGCAGGAGACGACGTATTCTGTGCACCGCAGGAGTCACTGCTGCTGACTTGCGCTGGGCACGGCAACCCCATCGGATCGCCGACAAATCTGTGAAAGGCTTGCAGGCCACTCTGTACCTCTGGGGCAACCATGGTTGCAGCGTGTTGTGGTGAGCATTTTGCCTTGTCACTTTCGGCTTTCTTGTGGTTGGTCACGACTTGCCTGCTTGGTTGTAGCTGGTTACTGCGTAGCGAAGCGAAGCACGGTAAGCGTCTCGTTGTTGCCTTGAACACAGTTTTGCAGTGTCGAAGCCTTTGCAGCTCGAAGGGTCTGCAAAGGGTAGAGGTCTGTTCTTGCTAGGTTCGTACTTTAGATTTGCCCGCCGCCGCCCATGCACCTCAATTTGGTAGTTCCATGCCAGGATGGCTGAAATCAGCTGAACTGCTCGCACGTCCCAGGAAAATGATGCACAGGGTGTGACGGGGTCCTGAGGGCTGGCTGGCGGGTGGGACTTTTGTGTGAATAAACTCTAGAGACATTTGTTTTGAGCTTAGCCAACTGTTCTACGCACGTGGTGTTGCTAAATTGTGCGGAGCGAAGCGAAGCGCATGAGTCGTCTCGTGGGTTTGAACTTGTATGGTAAGTCCGAGCGCGGCTAGCTGCTCGAGCCGGGTAAAGTTTGTGGATAGGCCCCGGGCAGAAAGGGATCCTAGCCGCTTTTAGGTGCCCACCGCCGCCCCATTCGCCTCCGGGAAATTTGTGGTTCCATGCTAGACTCTCAAAACGAGAGGATGTCACAAGCCTTCAACTGCGCATCCCTCGTAGAAAAGATCAGAGCGCGAGTTGTCTGCATGTGGGTGTCACGGCAGTGAGGGCTGGCGGGTGGGTGTCCTTGCATATAGTAGAAAACATAAAGACGTTCACTGACAAGGCAGCGTCGCTCGTTTTCCTTGCATTGATGTGTAGTTGTGGACCACAGAGGCAGACCTCAGGACAGATTCATTCAGCTCCTCATTTTCATTGCTGGATGTCGCGGTGTCCGCTTGCTTTGCTTGGTGTGCTGCTTGCATCCGGAAGCAGTGCAGCTGCCACAGCTGCTGCTGCCACTCCTGCCAATTTCTTGCTTGTCAGCGGCGTGACTGCGGAGGATGAGACTTGCTTGGTGGGTGCTGGGGCGAGTGTGTGGCTCGACTCGTGCGAGAGCGCCGTGACCAGCTTGAGCGGGAAGGAGATCTGGAGCTTGGCGACAGATGGAAGCCTTGTCCACGTGGCCTCCAAAAAGTGTCTCAGCACACGTGGCCAGACAAATGCAGACACGCCGATGGAGCTGGTGCAGTGTGATGCGGCCGGCGGCGCGCCGAAGTGGGAGCTGCAAACCAATGGCCAGATCAAAATGGCGCAGAGCAACATGTGTGTGAGCCATCTTGGAGGGTCCAACTCAGTGGTGAACGCAGCAGCAGCAGCGTCAGCCTCGGCAAGCTCGACGTTGGATCCCCGTCACGGGGCGGCCCTTGCTATTGACGGTGCGGCGTCCACATACTGGGTCTCGAAGATGGGCGAGGCGGGTGACGTCACCTTGCTCTTGGACTTTGGAGAGCCCCTGCGTGGATCTGTGCTGGATATCGACTTCGAGTTTGTCCCTTCCGGTTTTGCAGTGCACGTGGCAGGAGCAAGGCCGGGGGAGTGGCTACAGGTGTTTGCTATGGACGCAAATGTTCTGAAACATGTGAAGATCCCACTGGATGCGGCCAAACCCACGTCAGCAGTCAAGCTTGTCTTGCAGACTGCTCACCCAACGCTGGGCGTCCTGGGCGGCCACAAGCTTTTCGGCGTCCGCTCCATCAAAGTCCTGACGCGCTTGCTGCAGCCCGTGCTGGCGCCGTGTGCAGCAGCAGCGAAAAGCCCGGATGCCAGGGACAAGTTCTTTGCAGTAGCGGTGAATGCTTTCGACCCGAAGGCTTCTGCGACGTTGGCGGCCGAGTTGCCTGCGCTGGAGTCTGCAGACGCGGCCTTGTCGGCCGTCGTGGTGGAGCTTGCTGGAGCATTGCCTGCCATGAGCTCCTGCAAGCCAGCAGGGTTCTTGCTCCAGGCCA